CAGCGCAGGGCTCCAAGACCCAAAAGACCTTGCCTGAGGTCAGCCAGCCAGGGAGCGGCACACCTTCGCACGCCCAGCCACGGGGCGTGGAGACACGGAAAAGAAATGCCGGAAAGACTGAGGCATGTGACATCTCAGCTAGGGGCAACGGGGTCCCTGTCCCAGCAGAGACCCCACTGCCCAGGAGCCTCCTGGAGATGCACTTCCATGTGCCCCGGGAGAAGGCTCTCCTTTTCTTCTCTGCAGACTCCAGTCACACATGAGTAGACTGACCACGGTCCTGGGCTGGCCCGAGTAACCTGTTTCCTGGCTTTAAGCAAAGTTCCTTGGCATTTCTTTTATTTAAGTTAAAACTAGTTTTCTTAATAGTACCATGTGAACTTACCATTGGAAGTAGTTAGATTATTTAAGAAATTTTGCGATCAATACAATGTGGGTGGGAAAGGAATGGAAGACAATTGTAGACACCAGAGATAGTGTGAGAAGAGGGTGGAAAAGGACAGAGGGTCAGAAAGAGGGGTAAAGAAAAAATTCCAGAAGATAGAAATGGAAAAGTTTTGATAATAATATGCATGATTAAGTCACTATGCAGTATATTCTGGATGGGAAATCACATTTTGTATGCTGTGACGATGCTTAGGGAAAGAATGTAAATTAAGTTAAAAAAAAAGTTTCAGAAAAATATCTATTCAATGACTGCAATAAGATATATAACCCCAGCTAGCTACTACTTTATAGGATGCCTAAAGTTAGACTTGTGTTCATGGAAATGTATATATCAGCTGTGTTTGCTATGAAAATATTTAGATTAAGATCTTTATTAATTCAATAAAATGTGGGGGAAAAACAGTATAGAAAGCAAACATAGATACCAGAGACAGTGTGGGAAGAGAGTGGGAGATGGCTGAGGGTAAGAGATAGGGAATCAAGGGTGGGGGCGGAAAAAGCAAAACATACAGGAAACAAGAAATGGAAAATTATTTGTTGACAATAACATGTATGTTGATGTGCTTGATTGAGACAATATACAGTGTATTCTGGATGGAAAATCTCATTTTGTATGCTGTAATGTTGTACAGGGAATGAATGTCAATAAATTTAAATTAAAAAAATGAAATGTAAATGAAGATAATTTCAAGTAAATAAAAATGTACATAATTTGTGGCTATAAGACAGCTTTGTAAGAAATACTTAAATTCTTTAGACTGAAGGTAAGTGTCCTAACAGTAACTTTTTTTCTTTTTTGTTTTTTTCCCTTTTATGAGAAAAAGGGAAAGAAAGATAGGGAAGAAGGAACATAGAGATAGGTATTTTGGACAAGGTCTTACTGAGTTGTAGTCCTCCTTCCCCAGCCTCCCCATTGACTAGCATGACAAGAAAGCACAGCTGTGCCCAGAATGTCCCGGCTGGTCCGGAAACCAAATCCAGCCACCCATGAAGCTTCCAGTTCTCTGAGTGGTGGAGCTACCTGTGTGCCACTACAAATTCGAAATATGTACACAGATACTGGAATCCATGCAAACGGGAGCAGAGGTCAACGTCATTATGACTCAAAAGATCTTACAAATAGTTTGTTTCCTTTCTTCTCTTAATTGATTTAAAATGTAATTGCATAGTACTATATATATACATATATATATTTCATGATTATCGATTCCTTCTATATAATTGAAATGTCAGGCAAGTTTATATGATCTCAGCTATAGCATAATGCATTGCTTTAGAAATATTATACTGGGTTATCGGAAAAGTCATGATGCATTTTCGCATAAAAAACTACTTCATGATTTTTTCAACAACAGTATTTTAGATATTATATTAATGAATTTAGTCCAGGAGTAAATATAGTAGACAAACCAGTCTCTGATCTCTGACAAGAGTCAGACAGCTTAGAGAGAAATAAGGAAACGAGAGCGTGGAAGGAAATCCTGCTGGCAGCCAGCCACAGTGGGACTGTAAGTGTGTAGAGCTGTGCTCAGAGGCCGACCTCAGAGGCTTGGCGCTGCAGGGGAAAGAGACCTCAGGAAAAAAAAAAAAAAACCCAGCCACATCGCTGACAAGTAAATAGCAAATAAAAGCAGGCCTTCATAAGGGGAAGAGGAAATTTGTGTCCAGAGTCACTATAAAATATTCTCCAAAATGTCTAGCATTTAGCGAAAAGTTCTGAGGCATACAAAAACCAGTAATGTGCTTCTCAGACACGGGGGGAAAGTGAGCTAGTGAGTGTGCCAGATGCGTACATAGAGACCAGCCACAGAACAGCTGTTATTAATATGCTCCAAGGGCTTCAGGCAACCACTATGAAATAGGGTATAACGACAGTATCTCATCTACTAGAGTACCTGTAATTTGCTGCAGAGCGGTGACTGAAAGATTCAAATAATATTTGATGAAGTCTATTAATCTACATATCTAAGCTTAATGAAATCCTGGTAGAATAAACACAAAAACAAAGAAAATCCGGTTTAGTAAAAATGTTGAAAGACAAAGACATTTTAAAAAATCTTGAAAGCAGCAAGAGAAAACCAATTTATTATGTGAATGGAAACCCAGTAAGATTAACAACTAAAGACCTACCTCACTCCCAATACTTTTGCAAATTTCATTATATCCTTCTCCCAAGCTACAGGGGTCTACATGCTAAGTGCACCTGAGTGGCACTTTCTCTCAGCCCACAACAGATGCTGTGACCATTTCCCATCTTGATGCCTGCTTTATTTAAAGTAAAATTACATAAGAAGAGCATCAAAATATTCTTGGAGGGAACCAGCAGTTAGTGTAATGGCTATGTTGCTGGACTCCCACATAGTCGACCGCGGTTTGAGTCCTGGACCCAGTGGCTTAAAACTCATGCCGGGCGCGTGTGTGTGTGCATGCCCAAGATCCCGAGAGGAGAATGGAGGAGAAGGGATTGCTGCGTGACCACCCCACCAGGGGGGTGATTTCTCGCTTTCTGTCTCTATGTCTCTCTCTGTCTGTCTGGCGAGCGCACGTGCCCTATAGCGAAAACCTCTCAAAAAAAATATTTAAAAAAAAAGAAGGTAATTATATGAGTTTTGAAATGAATTCATTCAGAAAATAATATATAAAAATCCAGTGCTCCAGTGATCCTAGAATATGCTTGGCAAAATATTTCTGATGCTGTCCTACTTACTTTCTATTTCTGCCTTTGACAGGAAAATAATTTTGAATTTGAAAAAGCAGAAAGTGCAGTTAATGTGATAGGAAGAGGAATATGACAAGGAGTTTCTTTATCTGTTATCAGTTCTCTATATGTGACTAAACTGGCATGCAGATTTGGAATATCTCACCTGCTATAGAGTCTTTCCATTGTGCTGTATCTCTCACAGATCACACTGCCGCCTGTGGTCCCAGAGTGAGGAATATGACAAGGAGTTTCTTTATCTGTTATCAGTTCTCTATATGTGACTAAACTGGCATGCAGATTTGGAATATCTCACCTGCTATAGAGTCTTTCCATTGTGCTGTATCTCTCACAGATCACACTGCCGCCTGTGGTCCCGGAGTAACAATATTGCGGTACCTTCACAGATCCCACTGCCGCCTGTGGTCCCAGAGTAACAATACTGCTGTATCTCCCACAGATCACATTGCTGCCTGTGGTCCTGGAGTAACAATACTGCTGTATCTCCCACAGATCACACTGCCACCTGTGGTCCCAGAGTAACAATACTGCTGTATCTTCACAGATCACACTGCCACCTGTGGTCCTGGAGTAACAATACTGCTGTATCTCCCACAGATCGCACTGCTGCCTATGGTCCCGGAGTAACAATACTGCTGTATCTCTCACAGATTATACTGCTACCTATAGTCCTGGAGTAACAATACAGACATTTCTCCTTGACTCTAGAAAGACAGTAGCTGTCATTTTTTTTCCCAGAGTTGTTTCTGAAAGCTGGAATTTGGGATTCGACATGAATTATTCACATCTTCTTGGAATTATTCAAAATCCTCATTTTTAGTTACTCTGGGTAACATACTACCTATATTCAGCATATTGTACTTTACAACACCAGAAATAACTCCTGTTATCTATTTTGATTTTGTTTCTGTTTATCACACGCAAAGTAATGACACATGGTTGAGGTTATATGCCAATTACCCTGATTTATCATTGTTCTTTGTAGTCTTTTTCTGAAAGATCACATTGTCCCATAAATATATATAATTATTATAGTAAAAAAATAAGGAAGATGCTATTAAGGAATATAAAACAGAAATGAAGATAAGAAAATGATAAAATGTTCTGTAGAAACAAGAGTAAGAGGCATGTGGCCTCTCAATAATTATGAAAAGAAAAATTACAAATGCAGAAGTAAAGACTACTATATGAAATTGGGAAAGGAGTGAGTGAATAGTCACAATATCTTTGTGTAATTTTTCTTTTGAATTTCTATTCAGATATGAGTTTATTTAAAAACAAAGACATATCCATACCACAGCAAGAAGATAATTTCTCCAAGCACGTCGTACCAAGTACATTTCCAACAAAAGTGGTGACTTTATCACCCTTTAGCAATCAAGGTAATTAATACGTAACAATATAAAATGGGTATATAATTATCTGGAATAGTCCTCGTAGTATGCTTTTCTATTTTACGGTTAATTACATATTTTAAACATTCAGAAAATATACAGAGACTGTCTTTGCCTTGGCTCCTATAACAGAAATACCTTAGCTAGGTGGTTTATAAACAATGGAAATTTATTTCGTAAAATCCTGGAAGTTAGAAATCCCAGGTCCAAGTACTGGCAGATGCAGTGTCCGGTAGGGCCTACCCTCTGTCGTACATGTTACCTCTCTGTCGTGTCCTCCCGCAGCAGAAGGGACCGGCAACTCTGGGGCCTCTTTTGCTAAGGTACTGTTTCATTCGTGAGGGCCCTGTCCTCATGAGCTAATCTCCTCCCGAAAGCCCCACCTCCTATCACAGCATCACACTCTGACTAGGTTTCATTTACGAAGTTGGCAAGTGGAGGGAGGCACCACCTTCAGGCCACAGCAAAGACTAACGTGGAAATGCAGTCTTCTTACAGTTCCCATTCTTCATTGTCTTAATCTCATTCCCTCCTGTCTCAGTTTTTAATCACTATAGTCACAAACTAAAAAAAAATGATGTTCCATTCAAGTATTTTCAAAAATTTCTTGTGCTTTGTTGATTTTTTAATTTTTCTTTATTGCGGAATTCCTCACAACTTCTTCCCTCTAGTCGGGTACACTTTATAAGATATGTACACACACATACCTTTTTTGGCAGAACTCCCTAAGATAATGTTTTCACTTCCTTTTTGGTCTCTTGGGGTATATCTCTTACAACACCTCAGCAATACTTTTTAGAATATATTTCAATATAGCACATAGTCATTTGGAATAGTCTTCTCTCTTTTTTAGGTTAATTTATTTCCAGAAAAAGAAAGGGGCACCCTTGGAAGCATCTTCAAGCTACAATCCTCCCTTTGGGCCTGCAGCCAGCCAGGACCACTGGCATGCCTGCGGGTAGACCTGGGGTGTTCAGGGAGACCTGGGAAGCAAACCCAGAGCCTTGCCATATAGCTTCCAGTATCCGGCAATGCTCAGCAGTGCTCCTGATGCCTGTGCCACCGGGCAGAGCCTGGCATATTCTTCCATTCCTCCTCTATCCAAAATTACAGTCAACTTGTAATATCAAGACATGCCAAAATATATTCCTACAGCCTAGCTGGACACTTTCATGAAAATAATACACAGAATAAATGTAAACTTGACAGTACGAGACCATCATCCTAAAGTGCATTAAGGTTATTATTTCTAGAAACTTACAAATCCTCCCCAGCTTTTACCCATAACTGACATATGGGAATGGCTGGCATGAAGTCATCCCTTCTGGGATAAATCGTATCAATGGTTATTCATCCTCTCGGTGGTCTTCCACTAAAACCTTCTATTAGAAGAAGTAGGTTTAGTAGGTTTCTGGCTTCTGTTTTATCTACAGTTGATGATTTAAAAACAGGCAGTTTCTCATTCTCTATTTAAAATGAAGTTTTTACAGTAAAATATGTTACTTTCATAACAAATAGGATTTATGAAAAATAAATCCAATAAACACTGGTTGAGTTGAAGCAAAGGGGATCCAGTAGATTATGCATAGAGTTCTGATCTCCAAAATTTTCCTTCTAAGTGTATCCTTTTAAATGAAGACTACAGATTAGATATAGAAGTGAATATTTGATTCAATGTTAAATGAAGCTGGAATGAAAGTCAAAATTAAGGAAAATGCTGTCATGGACCACAGAACAAGACAAGAAAGATTGTGGAAGTCTTTTAAAAATTATAATAATATAATAAGATAATAATAGACAAGTGTCCAGTCAATAAAATACTGGAGGAAAAAATTACCAGTGCAGAAAGAAAGACTAATACATTGAGTTTAGGGATTAGTATGTGAATAGAGCCTTCATGCCTTTTTTCTTTTTAAATTTTATTTTAGGTGTGAATTTACTTATAAACAAAGATATGCCCATACAGCAACACCAAGAAGTTATTTCAAATAGAGAAGTTACACCAAGTAAAGTCCCCAAGAAAGTGATCAATTTGTCACCATTTAACAATCAAGGTAAAAGATTATATATAAAGATATAAGTATCTAATGACTTAGAATGGTTTTTTTGTTTGTTTGTTTTGACCATTGCAACCCAGTATATTCCAATATATTTGTATGTGGAAGTTAGCTAAAAGATCTTCTACTATACTTAACCTGATACTGAAGTAGGGGTGAGTCTGGCTGTGGGAAAGGGTCATATAAAAGTGTAGGCAGTAGAGTGCTATGGAAATCCAAACAGGGAAATTTGACTAGTCTTTATACACCCGTGTTTGAGCCTGTGCCCTTCTTTGGGGGTAGACTGTTCTTTTTTTTCCCAATAAAAATTTTATTCAGCTCACTTGGAAAACATTGACAACATAAATTTCAGTTGCAATTTCGGAGATACAGACTTCAAAATATAAAGGTGTACATACCAAAAATACAGGTGATATTTATAACAGTAACTTACAGATACAGATTAATGATAGATACAATTTCACAAAAGATTGTAAACATTTTATGCACTAGTCAGTCATTTCTTTTAGGCAAAGTGCTCTTTCAATGTCAGATCAATTAACAAATATTCAATCTTGTGAAGGTTTGGATTTGTTTTCCTTTTATAAATTAACTTTATTATTTATAGTCTTCAAAAATTATTTGGACTTGAACTTTCATAATTGTCCTAATTTTTTTCCTTTTTCTCTTTTCTTTTTTTTTCTCACATCTACCATTCACCACCCACTCTCTACCAACAACCCTTCCCCTTTACTGTCACTAGCATCCACAACCATCCTCTCCACCACCACATCTTCAGATTTTTCAACCTCTGCCATAAGGTGCAGACACTCAGTACAAATTGAGTGGGGATATACAATGTGTATCTTTTGAAGTGTGACTTGCTTCACTCAACATTAAGTCTTCTGTATCTATCCATTTTGAGTCAAACGATAGGATCTCATTTTTTCTTATACCTGGGTAATATTCCATAGTATACATGTGCTACACTTTTTCAACCCAATCATCAGTATTTGGACACTTAGGCTGGTTCCGTGTTTTAGCAATAATAAATAATGCTATAATAAATGTGGATGTGCAGATGTCTTTCCAATTGAGTGTTTTCTTATCCTTTGGATAGATAGCAAGATTGCTGGGTGACTTGGAAGTTGTATTTTTAAGTTTTTGAGAAATAGCCATATTGTTTTCCACAGAGGTTGAACTAATTTACATTCCCACCAACAGTGTAAGAGAGTTCCCTTTTCACCACAGCCTCGCCAACACTTGTCCGTTATTTTTTTTATTCTAGCCATTCTAATGGGAATTAAATCATATCTTATCATAGTTCTGATTTTAATTTTGCTTATGACAAGAGACTTTCCAAACAGGGAAATTTGACTAGTCTTTATACACCCGTGTTTGAGCCTGTGCCCTTCTTTGGGGGTAGACTGTTCTTTTTTTTCCCAATAAAAATTTTATTCAGCTCACTTGGAAAACATTGACAACATAAATTTCAGTTGCAATTTCGGAGATACAGACTTCAAAATATAAAGGTGTACATACCAAAAATACAGGTGATATTTATAACAGTAACTTACAGATACAGATTAATGATAGATACAATTTCACAAAAGATTGTAAACATTTTATGCACTAGTCAGTCATTTCTTTTAGGCAAAGTGCTCTTTCAATGTCAGATCAATTAACAAATATTCAATCTTGTGAAGGTTTGGATTTGTTTTCCTTTTATAAATTAACTTTATTATTTATAGTCTTCAAAAATTATTTGGACTTGAACTTTCATAATTGTCCTAATTTTTTTCCTTTTTCTCTTTTCTTTTTTTTTCTCACATCTACCATTCACCACCCACTCTCTACCAACAACCCTTCCCCTTTACTGTCACTAGCATCCACAACCATCCTCTCCACCACCACATCTTCAGATTTTTCAACCTCTGCCATAAGGTGCAGACACTCAGTACAAATTGAGTGGGGATATACAATGTGTATCTTTTGAAGTGTGACTTGCTTCACTCAACATTAAGTCTTCTGTATCTATCCATTTTGAGTCAAACGATAGGATCTCATTTTTTCTTATACCTGGGTAATATTCCATAGTATACATGTGCTACACTTTTTCAACCCAATCATCAGTATTTGGACACTTAGGCTGGTTCCGTGTTTTAGCAATAATAAATAATGCTATAATAAATGTGGATGTGCAGATGTCTTTCCAATTGAGTGTTTTCTTATCCTTTGGATAGATAGCAAGATTGCTGGGTGACTTGGAAGTTGTATTTTTAAGTTTTTGAGAAATAGCCATATTGTTTTCCACAGAGGTTGAACTAATTTACATTCCCACCAACAGTGTAAGAGAGTTCCCTTTTCACCACAGCCTCGCCAACACTTGTCCGTTATTTTTTTTATTCTAGCCATTCTAATGGGAATTAAATCATATCTTATCATAGTTCTGATTTTAATTTTGCTTATGACAAGAGACTTTGAACATTTTTCATATGGTTCTTGGCCATTCCTAAGTCTTTCTTGCATAGTTGTCTGTCCAATTCATTTTCCCAACCTAGAATAGTTTTGAGGTATGCCTTTTCACTTATTATTTTTGCAGCTCACTTTTTTTATTTATCAATATCTTCGGGAAATACTTGTAACCCTGAAAATGAAATGGCTTTAATTTATCCCTTTTACTGACAGCATAATATTCCATAGTACAAATATGAAATTCAGTCAATAGTCTACTAATGAGCATTGACTTTTTTTGGTTTTAGCCATAGGGTGCATGCACTTGCTGTAAAGAGACAGAAAGAGACACAGAGAGGGAAAGTGAGAAATACTCCTCCAGGAGCAAATGCCATACCACATTCCTTTCTCCCTCATTCTCCTTTCAGTATTTTGGGCACACAAACACACACATACACACACACACACGCCAATGTGATTTTTAAGCCACTGGGTCTGGGACTCGAACCATGGTCAGCCATATGGGAGTCCAGCACCTTAACCGCTGTGCCATCTGCTGGTTTTAAAGAGCATTGACTTTTTAAATATGTATTGCTCAGTATATCTATGTACTTATGAAGTTACTTCAAAAAGTTCATAAAAAAATGGAACTAATGGACAACTTTATTTTGGTACAATTTTTTTCATTTTAATTTGATGAGATAGAAAGAGAAAGCGAGAAAGCAAACTGCCATATCCAGGACTCAAAATGCAGTTGGTCATATGGGAGTATAGCACCTTTAACCACTGTGCCTCCTACCAGTCCCAGGTGCAGTTTTTTTGAAATCCATGCATAGGTTTTTCACATTTTTCCTGAGCTTTTTGAAGTCCCCTTATATATTGTTACATATTGGTGTTTTTATTATTTCGACAGAAATTCCTAATGGATTTTCAGTATTAAAAGCTATTTACAGGAACTACACAGCAGTGCCACAGTAAAATACAATGCTCAGTGAGACAATTCCACATGGGAAGGTTTGGGTTCAATTCTGGAGAGTTCTCTGAATATGCTGGGCACATGGTTGCCCATGATCCAGGGCTGGCTGAAGCTGAGAGTGGACTGTGATGCTAACACCCTGTTGAAGGTGCAGTCTTTGTGTGTTTGTGTGTGTGTGTGTGTGTGTGTGTGTGTGTGTGTGTGTGTCTCATTCATGGAAGAAATAAATGTTAAAAAATATTTTTCTATATTGTTTTTTGAAAGAGCTATTGAATTTTTCATTGTTACCAACAACCTTTTGGAAGTGGGTGCTTCTCTGTGCACAGGTATCTGGATACAGGTTGTGAGGATTTGGGGTTTTGTTGTCGTTTAAGCCCATCTGAGAATTCTTAAATGCTATCTCAGTCTTATTTTAATGTTCAACTACTGCCTAACTATCCCCAAACTTTAAAAACTGAGAACAGTACCCTCTTTGATTTGGGGGTTATCAGTTTCACCTGGTTGTGACTGAGCTCACGGAGGTATTCTTAGTGGATTTGGCAGTTGCTTTACTCACATGTCTAGCAACTGACTGGCTGCTTTTTGATACAGTGAGTTATAAAATCAGGATCCAGTCAGGAAATAGAAACTTCACTAGTTGTTTGGAAACAGAGACAGAAGGTACTCAATAACTAAATAGTACAACGTTGTAACCAGATATCTGAAAAAAAAAATATATATATATGAAAGAAAATGATGTGCTTTCAATGATACTCAAATAACTTTATTAGCCAGTTAAAAACAGTAATAAAAGACTTCCAATTTATGACAGACACAGAATTGAATTATATGTTAATTAAACTTGTTTGAGGGTATATAATGCATATGGAAATTCTACAAAAATTTTAAAATTTGTATTTTGTAATTTCTTTTTTACATTTTAATTGTTGTATATCTTTATGACATACAATAAGGCTTTTCAAAGCATACATGCAGTATGTGATAATCAAATTGAAAATATTACTATACATTGTTTCAACTAAGAAGCTTACTTTTTTTGAGAGAGAGAGATTTTTGCTATACACTGTGTGTGCTCGCTGGAAAGACAGAGAGAGAGAGAGACAACGACAGAGAGACAGAAAGCGAAAAATCACCCCCCAGGCGGGATGGCCACGCTGCAATCCCTTCTCCTTCATTCTCCTCTCAGGTTCTTGGGCACACACACAGACATGCCCAGCATGAGTTTGCCACTGGGTCTGGGACTTGAACCACAGTCGAATACATGGGAGTCCAGAGACATAGCCATTACACCAGCTGCTGGTCCCAGAAACTTACGTTCTTGTATCTGTTAAACAATTTAAACACTGAACCTCTCCTTCCTGTTCACGCAGTTCACACGCCTCCTAGTCTCTGATGTCTACAGTTGTTCTATTTTTGTGTCTTCAAACTTTAAAATTCTGTCACAGGGTGCAGACATTCAGTGTGTACTGAGCAGGGAATACACTGACTGTCTCTCATAGTCTGGATGCTAAGGTTACAGGGAGGAAGCAGTTACAGGGAGAAACCGCCTCAGCTAAAACTGAAGGAGACCTCTGAGTGAGGATACAGC